ATTTGCCAACAAGGAGCTTCTGTGGTGACCGGGGTGGCTGATGGCTTAGAAGCCTTGTCTCAGGGCCATCTCAACAGCTCAGTGGGGCGGGGACTATTAATTTCCTCCTTTCCAGATGTAGGCAGTTAAGTGAATGGCAGCTCCTGGTGCAGCAAGGCTGGAACCCGTTGGTGCACCCCAGAGCCTGCCCTCTGCCTCCCCGATGCTGCCTCCAGGACAGGGCCTGGGCAGGATGCGCCTGAGCCACCCTCCTGGGAAAGGGAGTCAGGAGGAAACCTCCTCCTCATCCCTGAGCTTCAGCAAAATACCGTAGTAAAAACACATTTTTTTCCAAGTCATTAACAATAAGGCTTTTGGTAGGTGTCTGTGATGTGCAGGTCAGCAGGCCGGCAGCAGCAGGGGCCGTGGGCAGCCCTGACCTCCAAGGCAGTGGTGTGGGCCTATGGGCACACTCTGAGCCCAGGAAGGTGCTGGGTGCTCCACAGGGCAAAGGCCCTTTAGTCCAGGCCGGTGTGAACCCAGGGGTGCTGTGCCCAGGGCGGGCATGGAGTACTCCATAGAGCAAAGGCCCTGCAGGCCCAGGCATCTCATGTTGGAGCGGGGGCTTCCTGCACACGGGGAGCTGCTAGGCTGGGGTAAGAGGAAGATGGGTGAAGAGGGAAGGGACAGAGGGCTAGGATCGGGGACGGGCGGTAGGAGAGAGAAGGAGGAGGGGAGGAAGGGAGGTAGGGAAATGGAGTAAGCAGAACCCAGGCTGAGCACCTGGCCCTGGCTGGGGTGGTGAGAGGCCCTTGGGCAGTTGCAGGCAGAGGCAGCATGGTGAGGTTTCTCTTTTCCAGAGGCAAGTGGTGGCAAGCGGTGAGGACAGAGTGGGGGCAAGTCTAGATGTGGGGACACCCTGAGGAGGCAGGTGGAGGGGTTGGGAAGGCAGGAACTGCTGGGCCTGGGGCAGCTTTGGTAGATTCAGGGCTGGGAGCTGGGGGTGGAAGTGGATAAGCCTGGGATGGCTGGGGGCCAGGTCTGGCCATGGGGACAAGAGCAGGATGAGGACGAGGACGGAAGGTGCCTTCTGCTCTGCGTGTGTGACTCCCAGGCAATGTGGTGAAGGGCACTCAGAGAGATCCTGGGCCTGAGCCATGGGCTTGGCAGTCCTCTGCCCAAAACCAGGAGCAGGAACAGCAAAGCACGGATGGGCTCACCCGGGGGACTGAAGGCAGAGGTGGGCTGTGGATGGAGACTGGGGAGATGCCGACGTTCCCCCTTTGAGGTGTCAGAGCTGGGCTAGAGAGAACCTGGAGATGGTCACTGAGCTGGGGTCAGTGTCTTAGGAGTGCTGGCCACCACCATCTAGGGAGATGATGACTGAGAACATCCCAGCCTTTGGAAAGTACGATCATAGCCAGCAGTGATTCGGGGCCCAGTGGGTGGTGGGGGCGGTGAGTGGAGAGGGGAGGAGAGAAAGAGGTGATGGAGGAGGCCGGCAGGGCCAGGGGGAGTACGCTCCTCAGCCACAGAACTGCAGGGCCTTGCCCACAATCTGAGTGCCTGAGGCCATGATCACCCCAACTAGGTCTCAAAATGTGGGACCCAGGAGGGCACAGGTGGGCTCTGTCAGCCTCTCAGGGTGAGGGTTGAACCAGTGGGAGGGTGGAGATCCCTGATCCCTGGAGGAGCACCATGAGGCTGCCGCCCACCCCCTGGAGCTGGAGGCTCAGTTCAGACCCCAGGCCAATGACCCCAGGAGGCCAGGCCCCGCTGGCTCCAGTGGACGTCACGGAACAAGCCAGGGCCACTCTGCCCGGGGTACTTGGTTAGTGAGAAGGAGCGAGCCTTGGTGCCTTTGCAGCCCAGGTGTGTGTCTGTGCAGGCTGAGTCCCATCTCCATAGACAGGGGCCTGGGCTGCCAGCTGTGCCTGTGGACATGGGGGCAGGAGGGTCAGAGGAGGGAGATGGCTCCGTATCCACCCTAATTGCCTCTCCGGAGAGGGAGACAGAGCGGGAGGTTGACTCTGGCTGACCCCCACTGTCCCTTGGGGAGACTACATAATGAGAGCAAGGAAGCAGCCGCTGTGTGTGTGTGCGTGTGTGTGCGCGTGTGTGTCCGTGTGTGTGTTTGTTGGGCCGGGACTGGTGAGAGGTGCTCAGCCTCTCCAAGGACCACATATGCTGGTGGGAGGGTGGCCCGGCTGCAGAATGCAGGCAGGCGGGGTTTTGTGCCGGCTTTCCTCTGGGTGCTTGGTGAAATGCAGGTTCCTAGGCCTCAGACACACTGGATCAGAATTTCCTAAGTGGAACCGTTCATCTTAAAGCTCCATAGGTGGTTTTCATGTTCATTTCAGTGAAGGAAAAAACCCACGGGCCTGTGAGATCTTTGGAAACCTCAGGAACCTCCCCGCTCCGGGCATGCACTTATGGTGAAGGCTTCCTAAGATTAAGGATGCGTCCCCTTCTCCCCTGGCCAGGCTAGACAGGCCCTTCTGGAGACAGCCTGCCCTCGCGCAGAGACCCCTACGACGCAGGCAGTTTGAATGGAGAGGAACGGGGGCATGTGGGTGAGGGGACAACTGGTCTGAATGACAAGGGAGTGGCTTTGCTGCCTGCCTGTGTTTCTCTGCAGGGCCTTTCCTAGTTCTGGGATGGGGGATATTGAGTGAGAGATGGGAAAAGGCCTGGAATCTAGTCTGGGCTCAGCCACTCATACAGCTGTGAGATTTTGGACTGAATCAGCCATCAGCCACCTCCACTGAACATCAAACCCCTCCAAGAGCACTGTGCTGGAGCCCTGCCCCAGACTGATAAAGTTAGCATCTCCAGGTGTGGGGCTGGACACGGGTCTTTGGTTCTCAACCCCTAAATGGTGATCCTTTTCTCTGATCCCCACCAACTGGACAATAGACAGGAGAGAAGGGCTTGGTTCCTTCCCCTTCCCCTTCAAGGAGAAACTCCCCTGGCCAAAAGCTTTTGCATTATGCTGATACTATGGTTGCTTTGTCAGCATTTGAGTGACACATGACATGCGTTTTGATTCGGGGCAGGCTGAGGCTATAGGAATGCCAGCATTTTCAGAGATGCTAGAAGATTGCCGTAGAGAAGGCACAAAAATCCTCTCAGCCATTGGCCCTGAAATTCTTTATCTCCAAATCAGAAGGAAACACAGCGTTGTCCATTAACAGTAAATTTTTTAAATATAAAGCGCAGACATACTGGGCAGGGGTGGTTTAAAGCGGGTCTGTTTGTAAACTTAAAGGAGAATCCCATGGGCAGATAACTTTTCATTTTAATGCAGATAACTTTTCAGTTTAATGGTCGGCTTTATAAACCCAGGTTCTCTCTGGCTGCGGATATCTGTACAGAAGTAGAACATTGCTAGAGGCAGAATGTAATCAGCTGAACCAAAAATCCCATTTAATTTACCCCCCTAAATTGTCACTACGTTGCAGTAAAGTCATTCAACAAAGTGTTGGCTACCTTTAGCTAAGGTGTTTATTTACAGAATCTAAATCAAAACAAAGAAAAAATATGATATAATGGAAGATGTGGACTTTGGAGTCTGAAATATCTGAGTTTAAATCCTGGCTTTGTTCCTAACTAGCTGTGTGAGTTTGGGCAAGTCTGTGTCTCTTCTAAGCGTCGGTTTCTCCATCTGTGAAATGGAACACCTACTTGCCTATTTCACAAACGTGTTGAGAAGTTTAAATCTCACAAATGATCATTTATATCAAGAGTCTAGTACGGTACCTGACGCATTGTAGGTATTGAATACTTAGCAGTTATAATTAAAATATGGATCTATCCCCAACATGTGTGTAATAAAGTTTCATATTATGTATTTTGCAACACTACAATGAGGAAAACATCATTTAGCCCATTTTGCAGATGTTGAAACTGAGTTGGGATCGCTGGGACTTGAGCTCAGGTCCTTCAGCTCCAGGTCCCATGCTCTTTTCATTGCATGCTCTTAACTAGAGATGGACAATGCCATTTTAATGAGGTGTCAGGTCAGTAGGTGGCAAGGCTGGCTGTCACTGGCATTCGGAGGTGGGGGGCAGCAGGGAGGGAAACAAAGGGGTTGAAACATCGCTCAGAGAATGAATGGGGACTTCAAATCACAGAAGAGGTGCCCGGTGGATGCTTCATGCCAGCCAGTAGTGACAAGTGCTGCACGCCCCTGCATGTCACCATTTCCAGAACAAGCTCACAGTGCAATCTGTTCCGCTGGGGGCTTCTAGCTAAGATGCCAGTTCTGATTGACATGTGACTTGTGAGTGTAATTCTTCACCAGCCCTTCATCCAATATGAAGAAACACTACCCCCCAAATATATCACAGTTTACATATATATAAAATTATGCTTTTATTGTCAACACCTTAAGGAATCACCTTTGCAGAATATTTTTGAAATATGCTTTTTTTTTTTTTTTTTTTTTGAGACAGAGTCTCGCTGTGTCACCCAGGCTGGAGTACAGTGGCACAGTCTGGGCTCACTGCAACCTCCGCCTTCTGGGTTCAAGTGATTCTCCTGCCTCAGCCTCCTGAGTAGCTGGGATTACAGGCACGCACCACCACACCCTGCTAAGTTTTGTATTTTTAGTAGAGACGGGGTTTCGCCATGTTGGCCAGGCTGGTCTCGAGCTTTTGACTTCAGGTGATCCGCCCGCCTCAGCCTCCCAAAGTGCTGGGATTACAGGCGTGAGCCACCACGCCTGGCACATGTCAAAATGTTTAAATAACATCTCCACTTGTAGATAGAAGACTGCAGACACGTAGAGACAGCAGATACCCAACCTTTGCTTTGTGTGGATACATTCAGATAACTAGTGGGCAGCACCTGCCACTGTAGCACAGACTCCATTTTAATACATTTGGATGCCACCAAATGCTCTGGTATATGCAGGAAAGCCAGTGAGAACCAGTCAAAGACATTCTACCCCGTCCAGGAACTCTCTTACCTGCATGGGGCTCAGTCTAAGCCCTGCTTTTGCAGGGTGTGCAGAGAGGCCATTTTTAAAATCTTACAAATGAGAAATAGAATTTAAAAAAATTATAAAGGACACAGGCAAATCAATTCATTAAAAGAAAAAACAGCTAGGATCTCAGTAGAAAAATGGGTCAAAAGCATGTACACATCATGTACATTCAAATAGTTTTTTAAAACCCTAGAAAAAAATTTTAATTTCATTAGTTATCAAATATATATCTAAGACAGTACCGCATTACAATAAGGTACTATTTTTTTGCCAATAAAATTTCCAAATGATTTTTCAATTTTGATGACAATACCAAACACTGATCATACTGTCATCATGAGTACAGATCTTTAGAAAAAACAATTTGGCTGCAGGATATCAAAAGCCTTAAAAATGTTGATATCCTCTGGCCCAGTAATTCCATGCCTGGGAGTCTATCCTAAGGAATTAATCAAAACTTCAAGAACAAAAAAAAAAAAGTGTTAAGAACAAAAGAAGGGAAACCATGTAAAAGGTTAAAAATAGGAAAATGAGAAAGTATTCAATATACTCATTAACGGTACATTATTCAGGGGTTAAAATATAGGTTTATGATGATAAATAGAGATAGAGGAAATTCTTACTTCTTTAAGTTTTTAAAACGTGTGTAAATATATATATATATAAAGAATCATCTCAACTGTAAAATGGTTAGAAAAGGAGGAGAAGGAAATACATCCAATTGCTAACAGAAGTCTCTGAGTGATGGGATTATTTCTTACTACCTGCTTTTTTGCATTTTCCATTTTTTCATTACAAAAAGTATGAATTGAGGAAAAGCAACTTGGACTTTGGGGCTGAGAACAAACTTTATCCAATGACTCTGAAGTTATCTGCTTTGCCCAAGTATTTCTGCAGAGTCACCAAATACATTCAAGACTAGAAAAACAGTACCTCAAAGTCAAATGAGGTGAGTGCCAACAGAGGCCAAGGAGAAAAGTAACAGGAGATCAATAGGGAAAAGACGGAGAGAAACACTTGCTAGCAGAAAACAAACCCACAAACAAAAGCAAAACTGGAGCCTTTCCAATCAGTTCCATCTTTCGGGCTCTGAAGACAAATGAATGGGAACAGGGCTGGCCTCCGATAACCAGGCAGATCTGCAGACCCCGTTTCTTCACACTGCGTGTGGGATGGGCCACAGAGTTCTCTGAAGCTTCTGGACTTAGAATCCCGGGAGAGCATGGCATAGGCTGTGTCCTTGGCACGTCCTTGGTCTTCGTCCATGTGACGTGGACATCTCCAGTGGACTGAGCGTTGCTCAGTTTTGTAGGAAAAATATGAATAAAAACAGAGCTCCCAAGCTCATGAGCATTTTGCAGCTTGATCTTGTCTAGAAATCTAAGTCATCTTGGCCAAAGCCGTCTGCCCTGCCCACTGCCTTGGTGGGGGCAGGATTTCCGAGTGTCTGGTCCTCTTGAGGGTCACAGCCTTCACTGGCCCCCTGCTCTGGAGACCTTGTGTCTGAAGGGGCCTCTTCTTGCTCAGAAGTGGAACTTTCTGGATACATCCTGGTGGCCTTCCTCTCTGCATGAGGGGCCCCCACGGACTTGGCATCAGGGCTCCTTGTGTCTCCACATACATGGCCGTCTTCTGAGTCTTTCCGCCAGCTGTTGCCCTGAGAGGATGCTCTGGAGGAGGAAGGGCCTGTCTGGGAGGCTGGCTTTTGGTGGGGAGTGTCTCCACCTGGGGAAGGGGGTGGAGTGGGCCTGTCCTCGGGGACTGGGCTGTTGCTTTCAGAAGCCCCCCCAGACTGGCCATCTCCTAGACTGACCTGAGGGCTCCCCTTTTTCTCACCTTGAGTTTCTCCTTCCGACTCTGGCTGGGCCTCCCCTTCAGCCTCCAGGGCCTCTACACCTTCTGACTCTGGTTGGCCCTCCTCTTCTGCCTCTGGGGTCTCTACACCTTCTGACTCTGGTTGCGTCTCCCCTTCAGCCTCCGGAGCCTCGACACCTTCTGACTCTGGCTGGGCCTCCCCTTTGGCCTCCAGGGCCTCTACACCTTCTGACTCTGGCTGGGCCTCCTCATCAGCCTCCAGGGCCTCTACACCTTCTGACTCTGGTTGGCCCTCCTCTTCTGCCTCTGGGGTCTCTACACCTTCCGACTCTGGCTGGACCTCCCCTTCTGCCTCCTGGGCCTCCCCTTCTGCCTCTGGGGCCTCTACACCTTCTGACTCTGGCTGGGCCTCCCCTTCAGCCTCCGGGGCCTCGACACCTTCTGACTCTGGCTGGGCCTCCCCTTCAGCCTCCAGGGCCTCTACAACTTCTGACTCTGGTTGGGTCTCCCCTTCAGCCTCCAGGGCCTCTACACCTTCTGACTCTGGCTGGGCCTCCTCCTCAGCCTCCAGGGCCTCTACACCTTCTGACTCTGGTTGGCCCTCCTCTTCTGCCTCTGGGGTCTCTACACCTTCCGACTTTGGCTGGACCTCCTCTTCTGCCTCCTGGGCCTCCCCTTCTGCCTCTGGGGCCTCGACACCTTCTGACTCTGGCTGGGCCTCCCCTTCTGCCTCCTGGGCCTCTACACTTTCTGCCTCTGGGGCCTCTACACCTTCTGACTCTGGCTGGGCCTCCCCTTCAGCCTCCGGGGCCTCGACACCTTCTGACTCTGGCTGGGCCTCCCCTTCTGCCTCCTGGGCCTCTACACTTTCTGACTCTGGCTGGGCCTCCCCTTCAGCCTCCAGGGCCTCTACACTTTCTGACTCTGACTGGGCCTCCCCTTCAGCCTCCTGGGCCTCCTCTCCTGCCTCCTGGGCTTTCTCTTCTGCCTCCTGGGCCTCTACACCTTCTGACTCTGGCTGGGCCTCCCCTTCTGCCTCCTGCATCTCCCCTTCAATCTCTGGGGCCCCTACAACTTCTGACTCTGGCTGGTCCTCCCCTTCAGCCTCCTGGGCCTCCCCTTCAGCCTCCTGGGCCTCTACACCTTCTGACTCGCTGGCCTCCCCTTCTGCCTCCTGCATCTCCCCTTCAATCTCTGGGGCCCCTACAACTTCTGACTCTGGCTGGTCCTCCCCTTCAGCCTCCTGGGCCTCCCCTTCAGCCTCCTGGGCCTCCCCTTCAGCCTCCGGGGCCTCTACACCTTCTGACTCTGGCTGGGCCTCCCCTTCTGCCTCCTGCATCTCCCCTTCAACCTCTGGGACCTGTACAACTTCTGACTCTGGCTGGTCCTCCCCTTCTGCCTCCTGGGCCTCCTCTCCTGCCTCTCGGGCCTCTGCATCTTCTGACTCTGGGGGGGCCTCCCCTTCTGCCTCCTGGGCCTCCCCTTCAGTCTCTGGGGCCTCTACACTTTCTGTCTCTGGCTGGGCCTCCTTTTCTGCCTCCAGGGCCTCTACACCTTCTGACTCTGGCTGGGCCTCCCCTTCTGCCTCCTGGGCCTCCCCTTCTGCCTCTGGGGCCTCTATACCTGCTGACTCTGGCTGGGCCTCCCCTTCTGCTTCCTGCATCTCCCCTTCAACCTCCCGGGCCTCCTCTTCTGCCTCCTGGGCCTCTATACCTTTGGACTCTGGCTGGGCCTCCTCTTCAGCCTCCAGGGCCTCTATGCCTTCCGCCCCATCACTCTGTCCTGGATCTTGGTCACCTCCTGCCACAGCTTCACCCTGCAAGTTGTCCTCATGCCCAGAGCCCTGGCCCCCAGTTTCTCCCTTTTCACTTATGCCCTCTCCCTCCTGCTCGGCTTCCCCCAGCTCGCTGCCCACACTGGTTTTGCTGTTGTGGATTTTCTCTTCTCTCTCCTGAGCCATTGTATCTCCCTCTGCCTCCCCGAGTTTGAGATCTTTGTCTCTGTCGAGTCTCTGGCTTCCCTCACCATCCTCACCCTGGTCCACTCCAGGCCCATGGCTCAGCCCCAGCCCTGGCCCTCCCTCCGCTCCCTGGACAGTCCTGGTGCTTGTCGGGTCTGTGCAGGTCTCGCCAGGGGCCACCTCTGCTGCCTCCCCATCGGTGTGTTCTTCCCTCTTCCTCTGCAGAATCTGCTGCAGGTCAAAGGCCTCTTTGATGGGACCTCTGGTTGCCCCCATTGTGGCCTTGGGGGACGCAGGGCTCACTTTCTTCCTCACGCAGGCCTCGCAGGGACAGAACTCCTCGCCCTCCCCCTCCTCGCCCAGCTGGCTCCCCAGGGCTGTGCTGAGGGCTGGCTCGTCCTCCAGGGTGAAGGAGAAGGGCCCCAGGCCCAGGGTCCGCTCAGAGAAGGCCGAGAGGTTGCGCAGGCCCCGGAGACGGTGTCTGCGCTGCTGGGTCTGCAGGAGCAGCTCCCCAGTGAGGGCCTCCCTGGGAGGCCCCAGCACCATCCGCCCCGCCCGGCCCTGGAGCTTCTGGAGCTCTCTCTCGGTGCTGTCCTGGAGGCGCCGGGCCACATCCTGCTGCAGCTCGGCCGCCATCTGGTCCAGCAGGTCACTGTCCTGGAGGCCCCAGCGCACTCGGACCTCAGCCACTGCGCCGGAAAGGTGGGCCAGGAAGGCCTTCTCCATCTTCTTCAGCAACACGGACACCCAGATGGGGTCGCAGTCCAGAGCCGCTCTGCAGGCCACCGAAGAGCTCCTCTCTGCAGCCCCCAGCGGGGGTTGGGCCTGCGTGTGCTCCTGGCCCATCATGGCGGCTCCGGGCGGCTTTTCCAAGCCAGGCTCAAGCTGGGAGCCACTTTGACTCTCGCTGGCACTTGGGTCCGTCTCGCTGAGATGACTAGCGGGTTCTGTGGGTTCCTCTGTGCCCTCTGGGGGGCACGGCTCTGCAGAGGCTCTTCCCGCTTCCTCCTCCTGGATTGGGTCATCTTCCCAGGAGCCTTCCCCATCCGGAGAGCCGGAGTCTGACAATTCCTGCAGGCCGACGCTTCCTTCTTCTGGAAGCCCTTCCTCTTTGAGACCCTCTTCAAGAGCCTCTTCTTGCAGTCCTCCTTCTGGTCCTTCTTTAACTTCCTCTAACTGCGCCCCCTCTTCTTGTGGTCCTTCTCCTTCTGTTTCTTCTTTAATTTCCTCTAACTGCGCCTCTTCTTCTTGCTGTCCTCCTTCTGTTCCTTTAGTTTCCTCTGACTGCGCCCCCTCTTCTTGATGCCCTTCCTCTTCTGTTCCTTTAGTCCCCTCTAACTGCAACCCTCTTCTTGCAGCCCTTCTGTTTCTTTAGTTCCCTCTAACTGCGCCCCCTCTTCTTGTGGTCCTTCTCCTTCTGTTTCTTCTTTAATTTCCTCTAACTGCGCCTCTTCTTCTTGCTGTCCTCCTTCTGTTCCTTTAGTTTCCTCTGACTGCGCCCCCTCTTCTTGATGCCCTTCCTCTTCTGTTCCTTTAGTCCCCTCTAACTGCACCCCCTCTTCTTGCAGCCCTTCTGTTTCTTTAGTTCCCTCTAACTGCGCCCCCTCTTCTTGTGGTCCTTCTCCTTCTGTTTCTTCTTTAATTTCCTCTAACTGCGCCTCTTCTTCTTGCTGTCCTTCTCCTTTTGTTCCGTTAGTTTCTTCTAACTGCACACCCTCTTCTTGCAGCCCTTCTCCTCCTGTTTCTTCTTTGATTTCCTCTAACTGCGCCTCTTCTTCTTGCTGTCCTTCTCCTTCTGTTCCCTTAGTTTCCTCTAACTGCACCCCCTCTTCTTGCAGCCCTTCTGTTTCTTTAGTTCCCCCTAACTGCACCCCCTCTTCTTGCAGCCCTTCTCCTGTTTCTTCTTTAATTTCCTCTAACTGCACCTCTTCTTCTTGCTGTCCTTCTCCTTCTGTTCCATTAGTTTCCTCTAACTGCACCCCCTCTTCTTGCAGCCCTTCTTCTGTTTTAGTTTCCTCTAACTGCACCCCCTCTTCTTGCAGCCCTTCTGTTTCTTTAGTTCCCTCTAACTGCAGCCCCTCTTCTTGCAGCCCTCCTCCCTCTGTTTCTTCTTTACTTTCCTCTAATTGCACCTCTTCTTGCATTGTGTTTTCAGCTAACTGCTCCAGGTTCAAGCTCGCCCTCTGCTCCTCACCGTCTCTTTCTGCTTCATCCTCATTGGTGGCACAAGCACAGGCTCGGGAGTTCAAGAAGGCTGGGGAACAACACTGCTGTTGGTTTTCCAGATCCCCTGGGTTCTCAGAAGTTCTGGAATCAGGCCTCTGGTTGGAGGTTTTCAGGGACAGCTCTGTCCCCTCAGGGACCAGGGCGCTGTCCATGGCACAGGGTACGCTGCTCTCCCCTGAGCCTCCGGAGCCACTGCTGATATCCACACCAGAGGAGGACGTGGGTGTGAAGTTCTCCGTCACGGCTTGGGACCCAAGGTCCGGCAGAGCCTGGCTCCATGTGAGCTCCCAAAGGCCTGAGTCTAACTGGTCTTCCCCAAGGTCGCATCCTGGCCACAGGTCCTTTGAGATGCTGAGCAGCTCCTGGTACCGAGGGGAGTCTTTGAACCTCACTTTGCTGGCAGGAGACCCAAGGTCTTCATCAAAGAACTGAAGACTGGCCAGACAAGTAATGAGGGCCCCGGCTGAGCGGCTGAGTCTCCTGGCCATGGGCCTAGACACTTCGGGCATGCTGCTGGGCCGGCCCTGCTTGGAGCCCATCAGCGCCCTCATGATCTGTGTGGAGGCAGACACCCGACCAGGAAGTGCCCGCAGGCTCACCCCGCAGCTGGCTGGGTCCTCTCTGTCCGCTCCGGCCTCTGCGGGGGCCTCGGAAACTCCCTCTGGAGCTGCCCCTCGGGGAACACCCTCTCCTGATTGGGGACCGGCATCACTACTCCCCGGGAGGGCTCCCTCTGGCTCCAGGTCCTGGCCGGGGTCCCCTTCCAGGGGCTGTTGTCTGGCCAGAGCTGGCTCCCCCAGGCCTTCCAGAGAATGGTCATCCGCAGGGTCCACCTCGGGGCCTCTCAGGCCACCCCCTGCTGCACCTGTGGTGTCGTCCGCCATCTCATATGTCATGAGTACGGGCTCTTCTAGAATGTTGTCCAGCCATTCGCGGACCACAGCCTCTGGAGACGAGCGGGGCAGAGAGCTGGGTGACACACCGCTGGCCTCCTCCTGCCCCTGCGGGCCTCCCCAACTCCTCGAGGTCTCCTCCTGGGACAGCCCCCCAGATCCCACATCCTGGCTGGCACTGCTTCTCCTCGATGCCCCTGAACCGGGCCCCAGGGATGGTGTGGGGCCTGCCTGGTGTGTCCCCTCCTTCTGCTGGCTCCCACCTGGCCTCCGGGCAGCACTTCGGTGGCTGCTACCGGTGCTCCCACAGCTGGAAGAGCGCCTCTGGGGGCAGGGCCGCCCCCTGGGCGGGGTGGGACAGTACCTGCCACACAGCCAGCGGGCCTCAGGGGAGGGTCCCCGCTGGGCCTCTTCGGCCGGCTGCGTCCCAGCCTGTGAGTGGCAGCAGCTTTGGTGGGGGCCCGCCGCCACTTGCTCAGGCCGTCCAACCTGCAGAATCAAGGGCGAGGAGGGTTGGGGGGTGTCCCTGGCCTGTTCCTCCAGGCTGGCAGCCCCAGATTTTGAGCAGGAGTCAGATGTGTGGGGTGGTGTGGGGTCCGGTGAGCATGTCCTGGACCCCGTGTCCCCTGCCCACCCGACAGAGGGAGCATTGCAGGGGGAGACCCCAGAAGCACAATCTGAGTGTCCTGCAGGAGTGACAGTGGCACTGCTGATTCCCAGAAGGTCCTGGGAAGGAAGAGATCCCAAGGAGGGAGGTCTCAGGTTCCCGGAGGCCTGTGTCCTGGTGCTCAATGAGCTTCCAGAAGATCGTGGCACTGAGCCATCCCGGCAGGCCCTTCGCCGATCAGGAGGCCTCGGCACTTGCTTGGTTACAGAGGAGTCCAGAGGGCTGTGGGTGTCCTTGCAGTAGTGACACTGCCTGGGATGGCCTCTCGGGGCCACTCGGCCAAGGCCAGGGCTGCTGGGTGAGGACGTTGCACTGGCCCGGCTTCTGTGCCTTCTCCGCTCCTGCTGGGATGAAGCGGAGGTGGAAGGGGTAGAAGAGGCTCCTTCCGAGTCCCAGGAGCCAGAAAGGCCAGGAACCAGAGGCTCCCTCTTCACAGACGCCCCCCTGGCCTGCTCGGTGCCCCGTCCTTGCATCTCTGCCTGCAGGTCCTCACTCCTTAAAGATGAAAGACTTGGAGCTGGAGAACCAGGGTTGCCTCCCTTGGTGGCCTCCTGCTGAGAGGTCTCAGCCCTTGCCTTGCCTGGGCAGCCCCGGGGCTGCCCGCCCCATTCGCTGGATCCCTCGTGAGACCCGGTGCTGGCCAACGAGTCAGAAGAAGCCCCCTCCTCACTCCGGGCCCTGGGTGTCAGGCGGCTGCCTTGCTCTGGGCTGCCCAGCCCGGCTCCATCTGTGCATAGGCTGGGGTCCTCACCCAGGCTCCCTCCAGCTTCCCGCTCAGCCCCTCTCTGGGCAGAGGGGCTGCCGCTGTCCACCCTGTCTTCCGGGGTCCTGGGGCAGCAGGAGGAGTCTGGCTCTGAGCCCTCGGGGTGGCCGGTGCTGGAGGCTGGGCTGGCACTGTCCAGGCTGCATCTCTGCCTCCCGGCAGCCCCGTGGCCCCACAGGCCACTGCAGCGGACGTGCTGGGCCAGCCCCCACCTCTTCCGAGTCGCCACTCTCTCTCCCTGGGAGGCATGCAGGGGATTCGTCCAGATTTCATACTTGGGCCCTGGCTGCCCGCCTCGGCCAAAGGCTTCCCCACATCCCACCCTGCAGGGCCGGGGTCCCCACACCCCAGGGTCCGAGAAGCCCCAAGGGTAGCCCTCCCACACACAGCAGAGGGGGTCCACCTCCCCGAGAATGGGGTCTTCCCCGCTGGCCACCGTGAGGGCGCTGGCCCTGCCCATCCTCCGGGACCACAGGAGTGTGTCCTCGCCGACCAGGTGGAAGCGGACTTTCATCTCCACGGACAGGCTGCCGTCCTCATTCATGCGGACCTTCTTCTTCATGTCATCGCCGGCCACCAGCGGGCCCGGCTGCGCTGGCGCGTCCTGAGGGTGCCTGTCAGGAGCAGGGCCCACCGGGGGGTTGCTAGGAACAGGCCTCTCTGGCGGCTGCGGCCTGCTGCCTGGCCGGGACCGTGAATGGATCACACTCGGCTTAGTCTTTGGCCCCCAGCTCCCTGGCACGCAGTGAAGAGGAAAAGAAAAGAGGAAAAGATTGTGAGCCATGGGGACAGCATCAGGGTAAAGGAATAAAATAGTCATGAGCCTCCCACGACCTGAACACCACCACTGCCTCCAAAATGCACGGTAACAACTGGGCACGGTGGCTCAGGCCTGTAATCCAAGCACTTTGGGAGGCCGAGGCGGGAGGACTGCTTGAGCTTGGGGTTTCAAGACCAGCCTGGGCAACTTAGTGAGACACCATCTCTACAAAAAAAATAATAATAATAATTAAAAAATAATTAGCTGAGCACAGTAGTATGGCCTTACAGTCCCAGCTTCCTGGCTACTTGGAAGGCTGAGGCAGGAGAATCCCCTGAGTCCCAGAGTTCGAGGCTGCAGTGAGCTCTATGCCACTGCACTTCAGCCTGGATGACAGAGCAAGACCATTAAAAAAAGAAAAGAAAAAAAAAAAAGCATGATAAGGGCAGAGCTATTCTAGAATGACAGTCCACAGAGCTACCAGTCTGTGAACTGGCATCGTCTAGCAAGGAGAACTTGAGTCTGAATTCAATCTCAACTCTGCCACTTACTAGCTGCATAGTTTTTGGCAGAGCCTGTTTTCTGAACCATAAAATAAGCATAATAATATTGATTGGTTGAGTTCGTATTGATGCATGGCTATGCATATAAAACTTCCTCTATAGTTGCTAGCACACAGTAGGCTCTCAAGAGATGGCAGACTTGGCAGGCAGAGTGGCAGTGCCGAGAGCTTGCTCTTGGCCCTCCTCATACCCACACCCAGCACAGCAGGTGAAATCAATAAACTGCTGCATATGACCCTGATTGTAAGCTGTTATATGCTCTGTGATTATTAGTGGTGATTTTTCACCCTCATCAAGCTCCTGGGTTGATAAATGACTTCAGGGAAGGACCTGGGCTGGAGATATCAGGTCCTGCTAGTCAAGCCTGCACCCTAGCCATGAAAAAGAGAAGAAGAAAGGGCCACTGGGGATGCAAAGGAGTGGCTCTAAGAAAAAATGAATCAGGTGCGGTGGCTCACGCCTGTAATTCCAGCACTTTGGGAGGCCAAGGCAGGCGGATCACCTCAGGTCAGGAGTTCAAGACCAGCCTAGGCAATGTGGGGAAACCCTGTCTCTACTAAAAACACAAAAAATTAGCTGGACGTGGTGGTGGGTGACTGTAATCCCAGCTACTCGGGAGGCTGAGGCATGAAAATCACTTGAACCCCAAAGGGGGAGGTTGCAGTGAACCTAGTTCACATCACTGCACTCCAGCCTGGGTGACAGAGCAAGACTCCGTCTCAGAAAAAAAAAAAAAGAAGAAAGAAAAAGGAAAAAAAAAGAAAGAATGAATGAATGAAGCCCCTAAGTGCTTTCAAATTCCATCTCCTGAGCCAACATGTGGCAAGAGGGCAGGGCTAGCAGACAGAGGCTGAGCTGATGACCAGCAAAAGAACAGACCCCAGGTGCACATCTGGGCAGAAGATGACTTTACCCAGTCCTGCCCCTCCACAGGGACCAAATGCGACTGGGGACTCCTCCAGGGAGGAGCCCAGAGTAAACTGTCCTTGTGCCTCCAGTGCCTGGCCTACAGCGATCACCGAGCCTGTCCTTGTTGGTGTTTCTGAACTTTTCACAAAGGATAGTACTTTGTTTACTCACCAAATTTTTCCATTGTCAGACTGCATTTGTTAATTGTGCTTTTAAAAATAAGTGTGTGGTTTTAGAAAATAACATAGTCCAGACTGTGGCTCTTTGGCTGGATATATGGTTGGTTGGATGGATGGATGGATGGATGGATGGATGATCCGTGGTCATGGTTAGTTTTAGTCCTTTTGACCTCCGTGCCGGCCACCACTGTTGTCTGAGATCATCGTGACCCTTAAAGGATGCAGCGCCACACACAGGGCCCATTGCTGCCATGATGTCATGGCCACTGTAGTTGTTTCTTTTTTGAGACAGGGTCTCTGTTGCCCAAGCTGGAGAGCAGTGGCACGATTGTGACTCACTGAAGTCCCAAACTCCTGGGCTCCAATCATCCTGCCGCCTCAGCCTCCTGAGTAGCTGGGACCACAGGCATGTGCCACCACGCCTGGGTAATTTGTTCATTTACTTATTTATGTCTGTGGTAGAGGCAGGGTCTTGCTCTGTTGTCTAGGCTTGTCTTGAACTCCTGGGCTCAAGTGATCCTCCTGTCCTGGCCTCTCAAATTGCTGGGAATATAGGTGTGAGCCTCTGCACCTGTGGTTCTTAATAAAATTTATTTTAGATTCTAGAAACTTCAAGTTCAAGATAACTTAACCCTGTTCCATGTATTTATTTATTTATTTTGAGACATGATCTTGCTGTGTCACCCAGGCTGCAGTGAAATGGTGTGATCACAGCTCATTGCAGCCTCAACCTCCTGGGCTCGAGTGATCCTCCCACCTCAGCCTCCCAAGTAGCTGGAGCTATAGGCATGTGCCATTATGCCTGGCTTATTTTTTTGTATTTTTTTTTAGAGACAGTGTCTCATTATGTTGCCCAGGCTGGTGTCCAACTCCTGAACTCAAGCAATCCTCTCGCTTTGGCCCCCCAAACTGCTGGAATTACAGACATGAGCCACCGTGCCCAACCTCTGTTCCTTTTATATACCAAACACTGTCCTCTCCTATCTTGGTCAAATGTTCAACCCAAGTCAGGTTGACAGTACTGAGAAGGAGGAAGAGGCAAGAGACATCCCAACATTACTGGGATACCCGAGATTTGGGGCCAAAGGGAAGTTTCCTGGATTACCTGGAAGGGTATCCACTCAACCCTACTGAACCACCATCCAGTGCAAATCAGATGGGGGAAACCCAAAAACCAACTCACTGTTTTTGTTTCTTGAAGTCAGCCCAGATAAAGTTTCAGCTTCACTTCTCCTGGCATTTTCCATGGCTGGGGGTCTGAAGGCCTCATGCCCAGCACACACCAGCACAGAAGGGCTGTGCAGCAGAGCCTGCAGCGAGTCCACCTGAGGGAGGAGCGGGTGGGGTCAGGAGGCCTGGGCTGCAGAAACCCCTCTACCCTGAGGCCTGGGGGAGGAAGAATCCAGTCTCACCAGCCCTGTCCTGATTTCTGCACATCTCACTCCAGACTCCTGGTCCAAGGAGGGGTCTTATCCACTCCCCATAACACCTCCATCACTGGCTGGAGGCTGAGGTCCCACCACCATGATCTCCTGCTCTACCTATACCCCTCCTTCCACCACATGTGAGGCCTGTGATCAAAGGGCACTCTGGATGCCCCTGCTGCAAAAGACTTCTGTAGGCTGCATTTCTGCCCACACGTCCACCCTCCAGAATATGTATTCCCTGAAGCAACTGGAGCAGCACGCCCTCCAGCTCCCACAGCGGGGCCCGATTCACTCTCACCCTTTTCCGAAATGGAGGAGCCTCTGTGCTGCCCGACCTGTGTTTTCTGGTACAATCTGAGTCTGTTGCCTCTGTCCCTGCCTCTGCCCAAGTGGAGGCGACAGGGGCTAGGCACCACTCTTCCTACAGGGACCCCTTCCCTTCCAGACTCCCGCAATGGTCTCTGGGCTCCTGACCCTCCCCAGACCCATCAGAATGTCCCCTGCCCACTCCTGGGCTCAGGGCAGGCTCAGGGCAGGATTCCATTCCAGGAAACAGGTTCCTGGACCCAGAGACGCCTGCAGATCTGAGGGTTTGCACTACTGATGGGATTACATTGTAATTAGCAATGCTGGGGAATGTACTCCATCTTTAAAGCACAGAGCACATTCTTTTTCATTCTCTAAAATTATAAGGATATGCTCATTAACAAAAAAATGAAAAAAAGAGGGAATATTACATTCTCTTCCCCAAAAAATGTCATAGAAGTGTGTTGTGCACCAGATCTTTCAGCCTAGGTAATTAGAAGTTTGTTTTAAATGACGAGGTCCATTTCTTCTTTGATTTAGATTCCTAGTCCATCAAAAATTTCAAACATGACCCAAGTCTATCAATTCATGGATGTAGCCATGCTTCTAGGGAATCAAACTCTCCAAGGAAGAAGAAAAAATTGAAGACTAAATGATGCTCCCATTCCTAGGGAGAGGTAGAAGTCTAAAATCTACAGGAAAAGGAGCATTTTCAAGAATGACTATCCAGGAGGGAACCTAAAAGTTGATAATCATGTCGCAGTCCTTCCTGGGGAGAAATGAGGTCATTATATTTACAGAAACTCTCACAGCTCTGCAATAAGTCTAGGTGAAAATATCCGAAGTCTTTTTCTCCAGTTCACTCATGTTATACCAGCTCTCTCCCCATCACCGCACCCACTAAACTACAGCTAACTGAAGGTGGGGACCTCGTCTCATTTGTCTGTTTATATGGCACATGCTAGTCCACGGTAATGCATACTAACTCAAAAGCATCCTTGCATTACATCGTAATTAGCAACGCTTGGGGATGTATTTCCATCTTTAAAGCACAGAGCTTGTTCTTTTTCATTTTCCAAGCATTAATGTTGGCTCTATCATTGGTCAGTCATGCAACTAGGGGCAAATTGCTTAACCTCTGTGCCTCACTTTTCTTATCTGTCCCAAGGGGATAATAATATCAGCTACCAGATGCAGTGGCTCACGCCTGTAATCTCAACACTTTGGGAGGCCGAGACGGGTAGATCCCTTGAGCCCAGGAGTTTGAGATTAGCCTGGGCATCATGGTGAAACCCCATCTCTACTAAAAAGACCAAAAAAAAAAAAAATTAGCCGGGCATGGTGGTGGGTGCCTGTAATCCCAGCTACTCAGGAGGTGGAGGCAGAGAAGTGCTTCAACCCAGGAGGCAGAGGATGCAGTGAGCCGAGATCACACCGCTGCACTCCAGCCTCGGTGACAGAGTGAAACTCCATCTCAAAAACAAACAAAAAAAAAAACAACAAACAAAAAAACCCAATAAAATTAGCCAGGCTTAGTGGCATGTGCCTGTAGTCTCAGCTGCTTGGAAGGCTGAGATGGGAGGCGCACTTGAGCCCAGGAGGTTGAGGCTGCAATGAGCTGAGATTGTGCCACTGCACTCACACCTGGGCAACAGAACCAGACCCTGAATCAAATATTAGTAATAGTAATTAATAAATTAATAATAGTAATATCAGCTACCTCATGAGTTTGTGTGGTGCACGCTATGCCCCAGACCAGCTGCTTCTATCCCACTGTCTTTCTGGTGTGCGTTCCAGTACTGCACAGGTTTCTTTCTTTGTTTTGGTTTCGGTGGTGTTTTTTTTTTTTTGTATGCTTGTTTGTTTTTTGAGATGGAGCCTCGCTGTGTCACCCAGGCTGTAGTGCAGTGGCGCAACCTCCACCTCTCGGGTTCAACCTCCACCTCCCGGGTTCAAGCGATTTTCCTGCCTCAGTCTTCCCAGTAGCTGGGACTGCAGGCACACACCACCATGCCCGGCTAATTTTGAATTTTTAGTAGAGACGGGGTTTCCCCATGTTGGCCAGGCTGGTCTGGAACTCCTGACTTCAAGCGATCCACCTGCCTCAGCCTCCCAAAGTGCTGGGATTACAGGTGTGAGCCACCACACCTAGCCCAGTACTGCAGAGTTTAGAAAGCTGCCAGCCCATTTCCTGAACTCGCTCGCAGCTTAGGATCTAAATGCGAAATAAGTCCCACGAACTGATGCACTTGCACAGGGCATGAACACGGCAGTGAAGCAGGGGCCATCTTCCTTTTGTTCCTGACTCTTGCCACAAGCAAAAGGAAGTCAAAGATGCAGAGAGGTGTGTGCCGCTGAGATATCAAAAGACGCCCTCGTTGTTCTAGTACCCAACATCTTCCCATTTGGGATCCCAGCAATGGTGGAGTAATTCAGAGCTCAGTCATTCCAGAGGCAACCCCCCAAACCCACTTTCCTCATTTCCTAGACATCCCGGACAGGTCGGTCTGTGACATTCTGGGAATCTTTTCCAGGAACCCAGCCTGTGTTCCTCCAGCCTTTCACTGAATCTCTAAGCATCAAACCCTCTGAGTGTAATTCCTTCTTGCTTAAGATGCCGAGAGAGGGCTGGGCACAGTGGCTCACGCCTGTAATCCCAACACTTTGGGCTGCCAAGGTGGGCAGATCACCTGAGGTCAAGAGTTCAAGACCAGCGTGGCCAACATGGTGAAACCTCATCTCTACTAAAAATACAAACAAACAAACAAAAAAAACAAAAAACAAAAAAAAAACATTAGCTGGGCATGTTGGCAGGTGCCTGTAGTCCCAGCTACTCGGGGAGGCTGAGGCAGGAGAATTGCTTGAACCTAGGGGGCAGAGGTTGCAGTAAGCCAAGATCACGCCACTGCACTCCAGCCTGGGTGACAAAGGGAGACTCCATCTCAAAAAAAAAAAAAAAAAAAAAAAAAAAGATGCTGAGAGAGGATTCTGTTTCCTGTACTGAAGCATGGATGATACAGTGTATCACATCAGAGGTGGCTGCAGGCAATGAACCTTCAAGGATAGGAATCTGGGATTTGTGTTCTCATCTGGTTGATTTGAAGGTGGTGATAAACTGGTGACAATGGGACACTCATAGCGCATGGCACACAGTGACAAAAGGGTTCTTAGGTGGTCCCTCTGATAGTAGAAAGTAGTGCTTCCTGAGAACAGGACTTTGACCCTCCACTGGCTGCCGGGATAGCCTCTTACAATGAGAGTAAGATCTGCAAGGGCTATGGAGTGGGCTGGCTGCTTCTGACTTTTGAAAAATGGCAAGCTCAAGGTCTAAGCCCTGGTTCAAGGATGACCAGAGGACTTGGGGGCTTCTGCAACTGCTGTCAAAGAGTCTCTTTTCTCTTGTCAAAACTCAAACGCAGAACTGCTTCTGCTGGTGGCTGAAAGACAACTGAACTGGGTGTTAGCTGTTCCATCAAGCCACAAAGCAGGGGTGGTGTGCAGAAGTGGTCCCTGATCACCAGGTGGAGATGACATGGACTAGATCAGGCTCAAGAAGCTTGACTGAGGCCTCAGTTAAGTTGCTCGAGAAGGTGGCTCACACCCCAGCTTATCTCCTCCTGTTGCATCCACCTATGACTTCCTGGGAAATTCCCCCTCCCAGCTAACTGAAGAAGAAAAGATTAAATTCTGGCTTTCAGACGGTTGCACAGAGTATGTTGACATGACCAAGAGTTGACTGCTGCATGACAGACCCGGTTTGGCCATGAAGGGCAGTGGGGAAGGGAAACCCAGGAGACAGTGTGATTTGGTGACTACTCAGAAGAAGCAATGGCAAGAGGTTCTAGAGCAATTTATGGGCAATGGTTAGCAGTTAAATCTGACAATCAAGGGGCTTGAAAGGAAGGGGACTGGAGGATGGGTGACAGGAAGTCCAGAGAAGGACCTGTGAATGGATTGTTGAGAACTGGCCTAGAGGGTAAGAACATTGGTGTCCCATGTGGTTGTTTACCAAAAAGTGAAAATCCTGAGGATACATTGACCAGCTCTGTAGAGTCAATCATCCTCTTCCTTCAGCCACCCCAGGGCATGCTCAGGCAGTTCCTGAACAAAGTGGCACAGAAGCATCAACTAGCAGCAGACGCTCCACTCCATTCAAGCAAACTTGGCTGCCACCTCTGCTCGGGGCCTGATCTGCTAAAAGCAGAGACCAATGATTCGTATCAGACCTTGAGGGATACAGCCAGACCCCTGGCGGAAAGAACTCCTCTGATTTGGTGGCATTCAGCAATCTGTGCCAACTGTAATCCTGCTACACAGGTAGATTTTGCACCTGGCCATCATCCTTCTCCACCCTCCATGGACTCACTGAACGCCTTGCTCATCCTTGCCAAAACCCATGAAGATTATTTCCACCCAAAAGACTGATTTTATAGCAAAGATGTGAGAAGATGGACTAACACCCATGAAACTCACTGTGTGGCCATGTACCCCATCATGCAAAGTAGCTCTAACTTATAGAACAATGGAATATTCTACGGAAGATTCAGTTTGGACAGCAGCTGGAAGACATCACTTTATGATGTTGGGGTGTCGTCTTACAGAATGTGATATGTGCTCTGAACTGGCAACTGATACATAGTGCTGTTTCTCTGGCGACTAGCACACCTGTGTCTTAGTCTACTACACCTGTGACCTCACTGCAAACATTTTGCTTTCCATCCCAGCAGTTTCAGTCTCTGCAAGCTATACAGTGAATTCCATGGGTGTTAGTCCACTGTCTCACTTCTTTTGCTACAAAATTAGTTCTTTGGATAGAAGTAAGCTGCATGGGTTATGGCGTGGGTTTGGAGGTCTCAGGGCCCAAGGGAGAATGTTCCCCCTTGGAAGACACAACAGTGGATGGGCACGGTGGCTCATGCCTGTAGTCTCAGCACTTTGGGAGGCTGAGGCGGGTGGATCACCTGAGGTCAGGAGTTCGAGACCAGCCTGGCCAGCATGGTGAAACTCCATCTCTACTAAAATTACAAAAATTAGCTGGGCATAGTGGTGGATGCCTATAATCCCAAGGAGGCTGAGGCAGGAGAATTGCTTGAATCCAGGAGGCAGAGGTGGCAGTGAGCCGAGATTGCGCCACTGCACTCCAGCCTGGGCGACAAGAGTGAGACTCTGTCTCAAAAAAAAAAAAAAAAAAGGAAGACACAACAGTGGCCCCATGGAGCTGAAAGCTGAGATGGTCACCTGGTACGTACAAGGCTTCTCATGACAATGAACCAATAGGTAACGAGGAGGTTCTGTGTTGGATGGGGTGGCTGGTTCTGATTGTCCAAGGGGGAAATAGGGCTACTATTACACAATGGGACAGGGAGGAAGTAATCTATTCCCCACGCAGCCCATTGGCTGTCATGTCCAGGGATAAACATGAACAGAAGACCATGGAAGCCCCATGTAGTGAGGAACCCCAAAGGCTCAGACCCCTGAGGAATATGGTTGGGTCACTCTGCCAAGTACATAACCATAATCAGCTGAGGTGCTGGTGGGAGACAGAGGAACAGGGAGTGGAGAGTGGAAAGAAGCTTTAAACACCAACGATGGCCTTGAAGTAGTCTAATTTTTTTCACAACTCTGCTAGGTATACATATTAATCAATTTCCCTTTTCTTTGCTCTTTATTTCCTATACTACTTAACATAGGGTACTTTGATGGTGCTGAACTACATAAGTAGACCTTGAGACAGATGATATCAAGGTGAGGTTGTCACAGAATAGAAGGGTCCAGTGATAATGTGATTGTGGGGAGAAGGTAAATGTGTTTTTTATTGTCGGAGGGAGAGCTCTATTACTACATGAGGGCATGTTGCTGTAGCTGATGTTTATAATGAAGTTTTTGTAATGATGTTATGATTTTTTTTTGAGATGGAGTGTGGGTCTGTCACCCAGGCTGGAGTGCAATGCACGACCTTGGCTCACTGCAGCCTCTGCCTCCCAGGTTCCAGCGATTCTCCTGCCTCAGCCTCTTGAGTAGCTGGGATTACAGGTGTGCACCACCACACCTGGTTAATTTTTGTATTTTTAGTAGATATGCGGTTTCGCCATGTTGGCCAGGCTGATCTCGAAATCCTGACCGCAGGTGATCCGCCTGCTTCAGCCTCCCAAAGTGCTGGGATTACAGGCGTGAGCCACCATGCCCAGTGATGTGATGTTTAAGAAGTACTGATGGAGTGGTGCATACAGATGTTGAGTAGCAACAGGACTGAATCTTGAGGAGACTGTGAATTAGATCAGTCAACCTCCATCCTCTGCTCTGCCCACCTTTGGTGGAAATTCATGTTCTGCAGAACCTGGAAAGGCAAAAATTACATTCACAAATGTCCTTAAACTCAATAATCATAGCGGCTTCCAGCAGAGGTAGTAGCTTCCTGCACGTGCTGGGAGCCATTCCTGCAGACCCAGCTTCCAATTCACTCTCTGGCTTCCCAGAGATGAAGCCCTCCAATGCCCTGTATTAAATCACTTTCTACTTAAGGTATCTTGAGTAGTTTGTTTCCTGCACTGAACTCCTGCAATAATAGGTTACTGGATAAGACAACAATAAGAGTACACAAGGCTGCTGGGCGCGGTGGTTCACAACTGTAATCCCCAGGACTTTGGGAGGCCGAAGCAGGTGGATCACCTGGGAGGCCGAAGCGGGTGGATCACCTGAGGTTGGGAGTTGGAGACCAGCCTGACCAACATGGAGAAACCCTGTCTCTACTAAAACTACAAAATTAGCTGGGCATAGTGGGACATGCCTGTAATCCCAGCTACTTGGAGGCTGAGGCACTGGAGAATCACTGGAACCCGGAAGGCAGAGGTTGCAGTGAGCCGAGATTGCGACATGGTCCTCCCGCCTGGGCGACAAGAGTTAAACTCCGTCTCAAAAAAAAAGAGTATGCAAGGCACAATGCCTGCCACTTACCACATGCCCACATGCTCTCTAAATGTACCTAAAAACGTGAATTACAGCTGCTTGTTGATTAATTGACTTGACTGAGTGTCTCCATGCTATTCACCTTTAATTAGTAGCAGGGCAATCAAATGCCTCTTTTTAAGGAATAATCTCCCTCTTCCACGTGAGTATTTTGACCTGAGGTCTAAAGAACTTTTTCAAGGAACTGTCAGACCCCGACAGCCTACCTTTTTCCCGCTGGTCGTGTACAGCTGCTTCACAGGAAAGCGCAGGAGATCTGAGGCTTTGCTGAGAAAGGCGGCCAGGTTCCTAGTATTCCTGTGACTGAGAACCACTGTCTGCTGGAGGCGTGGGTCCATGTTCTTAACCAGCAGCATCCTCCGGGGGGTTTTAAGACTCTTCCGGGAGGAGGAGCTTCCTGGGGCTTCACGCCGGCCTTGGATATCCCGCAGCTGCTGAGCAGTGGGACTTCTCCCCTGTGGCCGGCCTGGCCCACTGGGGGTCTTGGGGGGTTTCTTATCAGAGCAGAAGTAGCAGCCACCATCTTCCAGCTGCTCCAGGGCGCTGAGGCTGTGCAGGCCCCGGGGTGTGGTGACGGAGCGCACCCCAAAGGAGAGAGGCACGCGCTGGGAGAGCTCGTCCATGAGGGCGCTGAAGGTCTTAAAGGCGCGCTGGTGAACGGCCAGGCGGACCCCAGCAAACTGCGGATCCCCTCGCTTGAGGAAGGTGATCTTCTTGGCTGGTGTGACCTTGGTGACTGAGGGCGTGCGAGCCACAGAGGGCAGGAGGCACTCACGGTGGCGCGGGGCCTGGGCATCCCTCGGGGTGCTGTTCATGGTGTGGGGGCTCCGGCAGCTGTAACAGGTCAGAGGAAGGGGGGTCAGAGAGCAGCGTGGGGGACTGACATTTCCTGTCTCTCCCCGTCTTTATAGAGGTGCTTCCTGCCCACCCCGAATGTGCTCCACACCACTATGGAGAGGCAGGCGAATCTATTTGGATGGAACAGAAGGAAAGACAAAAGCGGGGCATGGGACAGATCTGAGTTCAAATTCCAGCCCCGTGGATCCCTTGAGCTCAGGAGTTTGAGACCAGTTGGGCAACATGGCAAAACCCCATCTCTACAAAAGTACAAAAATTAGCCAGATGGTGTGCTCCTGAGGTCCTAGCTACTTGGGAGGCTGAGGTGGGAGGATGGTTGGAGCCTGGCAGGCTAAGGCTGCAATGAGCCATGATCATGCCACTGCACTCTAGCCTGGGCAATATAGCAAGACCCTGTCTCAAAAAAAAACAAAAAACAAAAAACAAAAAACTCCATCTCCACCACCTACTCCTGTGTGGCCCAGGTGAAGGATGCAATCTGGATTTTGGTGGCCCCCATCTGTAAAACGCAGCCATAGCCACACTGCATAGTGGTTATGATCATCAGATGAGTCTAGACATGAAAGCACCTGGCACTGAGCAAGTATTAATTGTTTTTGAGACAGAGTCTCACTCTGTTGCCCAGGCTGGAGTGCAGTGGTGCACTCTCAGCTCACTGCAACCTCTATCTCCTGGGCTTAAGCGATTTTCATGCCTCAGCCTCCCGAGTAGCTGGGATCACAGGTGTACGCCACCACACCCAGCTATTTTTATATTTTTGTAGAGACGGAGTTTTGCCATAATGACCAGGCTGGTCTCAAACTCCTGACCTCAGGTAATCCACCCACCTTGGCCTCCCAAAGTGCTGGGATTACAGGCGTGAGCCACCACACCCGGCAATACATCTTTATTTCTTTCCTTCCTCTTGTTTCTCTTGCTCACTTCCACCAACCTTGAACCTTTTTGAATAGTATTTCAGCGGTTTGTCTCTAAGGAGGTGGGCAAATAAAGAGAGGACCATGAAACACACAGGTACAAAGGCTAGACGGAGACTCGGGAGGCTCAGGCAGCATACCCCTGCTCATGAGGTCTCCCTGTGTGGCCACTGGGGGTTCTCGCCTCCTTGGACTCCCCCTCTCCAGGGGTGAGATGTTGGGTGAGAGGGCTGGAGTGGAAGGCATGGGTTTCAAGCCAGGCAGGGACAGGGGTGCATACAGGGGGACTTGGAGCTCTGTGTCCTTAACCCAAAGGGGGTGCCACTGTTTGAAGCTGTGTGCCTTCTTCATTATATGTTGAGGTTTGCTTTCATATGCTGCCTCTCACATTCTCCTGAAGTCTGTGCAAGGTGCATGATAAACCCTACAGGTGAATATCCCAGCCACTGCTGCCATCATCGGAGAGCGGGGCTCAGAGCTGCTGTCCGAGGCTAAGGCCAGTCTCCCACAGTCCATTTCTGCTCCCACTGTCCCCCGGAGAGGAGCCTCACATAGGGCTGCACAGGCTTTCTATGCTTTTCTGTGCTCTTGCCAGCGCAGGAGGCCACGCCTGCTCTGGGCACCTCACCTCCTGCTTCTTGCTCACATGGGAATTCACCATTCCCCCCAGGCTGCCTGGCTCCAACGGTTTCCTGCAAGGTGGCCCCAGCCCTGCAGCCCCGGCGTGGCTTTCCTCTTTCGAAGAGTTTTACTCAGCCCCCAAAGCCTGGGGAGCCCCCATCTTCAGTGCAGCTTCTCCGACAGTTCCCACCCCTGGGCCTGCGTCCTTTCTGGCCAACTCCACCAGGGCCCAGGAGGCAGAACCTGTCTGTGCTCCCCGGGGCTCCAGCCCCACGTTCTGCACAGAGTCGGGCTGAGAAATGCACACAGATGAGTCAAGCGGATGCTTCCTAGAGCCAGGCCTGTTGGAAGTTGGCCCCGAGCACTTACCAGAGGCAAGGAGTCGTCCCAGCTTACAGGTGGCTCAGCCCAGGACCCCCGTTGGTGTACAGGCCATGGGCAGCCGTGGTCCTCCCTGGCTGTGGCCACTGTGCCCATTTCTGGGGTAGCTGGGGCCCCCATCTTCCCTTCTCACCCTCCTCTCCACGTAGCCCCATCTGTCCCAAGAGATAGAACTCTTCTCTCTTTTTCAAAATCGTGATGCAGAGAAAGACCTGTTAATCTGACCTCATCTCTGACACAAGCTTTATAATTAGCTGGGCTGCCTCCTCCCACCCAGCATTTAATCCCTCGAAGCTGTTCTTCCCAGCCCTCGGCTCACCTTCCTGCAGAGCTGGAGCACTTCCGCCAGACACTGCTGTGGGACAGCCCTACTTCCAACATCTTTTCATTTGCACCTGCCACTGTGACCATCCATCTGGCTCACGCTGAGGGAGCTAAAGAAATGAAGCCCACCTTGTCCCCAGTGTCACTGTGTCTCTCAGCACCATGTCCCAGCATTATTGTATCATCCAGCTTCATTTCCCCTAGAATCACTATATCCCCAGCAGCACCATGTTGCCAGCACCCTCATGTCCCTAGTGCCATCATGTCCCTCAGCATCATGATGTCTTCAGCATCACTGTGTTCCCAGCATTAAATGTCCCAAGCATCGCCATGTGCCATGTGTCCAGCACCACAATTACGTGCCAGCACCGCCATGTTCTCACCATCACAATGTCATCAGCACTTCCATGGCCCAGCATTACCATGTGCCCAGTATTACCATGTCTTCAGTGTCACCGTGTCCCCCAGCACCTCCATGTCCCCAAAATGACCATGTCCTCTAGCATTACCATGTCCCCAGCACCTCCATGTCCCCAATACCTTCATGAACCCAGCATTACCATGTCCCCAGCACCTCCATGTCCCCAGTACCTCAATGTCCTCAGCACTTCCATGTCCCCAGAATCATCGTGTCCCCAGCATTGCCGTGTCCCCAGCAAAGCCATGTCCATAGCACCTTCATGTTCCCAGGACCTCCATGTCCCCAGCATTACCATGTCCCTAGAATCACATGTCCTTAGAGTCACCATGTCCCCAGCATCACTGTGTCCCCAGCACAGCATCACATGTCCCCAGCATTGCTATGACTCATTGTCACCCTGTCCCCCAGCATCACCATGCCACCAAAATGACCATGTATATCCCCAGCACCACTATGTCCCCAGCACCTCCATGTCCCCGGCATCACCATGTCCCTAGCACCTCCGTATCCCTGCATCACTGTGTCTTCAGCACTGTCTTGTCCCCCGTATGACCTTATTTTGCAGCCATGGGGAAGGAAGTTGCAAACATGGAAGGTTTTCTTCTTGGGAGAGGCGTCACCTTCCAGGCCTCACTCTCAGAATACCCATCACATTCTCCACACATTGTGTCACTCATGACTCACTCTCTCATGTATCCAACAAAGATTTCTGAGCATCTATTGTATCAGGCTCTGCATGGTATCCTGGGATGCAAACATGAGTAGGACATGGCACTGATCTTCAGAAACTTCACATTCCAGTGTGACAAACAGACATGCTCCTACACACAGTAATAAATGTTCTGATGTGTATATGTGTACATACACACACACTCACACACACACCACAATATACACTGGGTGTGACTGAATGCAGAGTAAAAGGAATGGCCGTGCAGGTCCAGGAAGGCCTCCTAGAGGAGGTGATGCAGAGACTCCTGAGCTGAAGCCTAAAAACAACTTAGGGATTAGCCTCTCTGGCCCTAGGAAGAAGTTAGGACCACAGCAAATAGATATGGCCCTGTCGCCTTCTCTGGCCAGCTGGGTGGTGTTGGAAGGCTGGCGGGGAGAAGGTCAGAGGCTTTTTGCAAGCTGGGATGGAAGGCTGGGAGGAGAAGATCGGAGGCTTCTCAAAAGCTGGGATCGGCTGCCGTAGAGTCAGGGTGGAGCAGGGCCATTCTGGGTGCTGGACACCTGCCATCCCTGCATCGGGGTGTTCAAAACCTGGCCTGGAAAACTGGGCTTTTCAGTTCCATGAGCTGACAGTTCTCTCCTTGGCTGAGTGGGTTTAAGTTGGGGTTTCTGTCTTGTAGATCAGGAAGAGCCCAACTGAGATGTGGGCCCCAGAGAGTGACAAAAGCAAGCACCTCGCCTTCAGTGACTCTGAAGCTGGATTTCTGAGTTAAGAAGAATCCTGGGTGGGGGTGGAAGCCGAGGCTCCTGTCAGATCCCCCAAGTTGTCCAGTGGATGACAGGGGACAATCACTGCATTCCTACGTTTCAGACCGGCCTTCAGAAGCTGGACCGAGGGTGAACCGTCAGCTGATAGGCAAAGTCGCATATCACTTTTCCCTTGCTGGTTTCCTCCTTTCAAAATCATGAGGTTTCTCCTCCAAGCAGGAGCAGGGGAAGAACTGACCTCTTAACAAAATTGCTGGGTGGGTACCAGGCCAGGCCCGGGGAGAGGTCGCCCCTGCACCAAGCAACTCTCCACCATCTCAGGAATCAGGCCTCCTGCAGGGTCACAGAGGCTCCCAAGACGGAGAAGATTCTTCCTCCAGTGCCGCTCACCTGTTGTGAGAGTCCAGGAACCTGGGCCTTCAGCGTGCGAGGAAATACTGGGAGGAAGGACAAAGGGAAGATCGGGCCAGGCTGGAGGACGGGTGTGGGGTGTGGTCCCCGCTCTCCACTCCATGCCCAACTGGGGGTCAAGTGGGGAACCCCGGGGAGCGGGGTAGGGGGGTGGGGGGTGGGGGGGGTGGGGGGGTGGGGGGAGCATCTAGATGAGGTATGAGATGCTCCATAGGCGGAGGGCTTCTGCCCAGCCAAGCCTCATGACTGAGCGATAAAGGCGCCCCCCAACCCACCTCCCACACAGGGCAGGGCCTCATCAGGTGTGGGCAGGTAGAATGCTTTAGAGGAGGCTCTGACATTTCACTTCTGAACCATCCAGGCACCCCAGGCTGCCGACAGGACCACGCAGGAGCAGAGGATCTGGCAGGAAGCAGGGAGCTGTGGTGGGTGATCTCGGCGAGCACAGAGACCGAGGGAT